CAAACCCTGACCTATCAAAATTACTGGTTTGTAACAGTTGACCAGGAGTTGGTCATCCATTGAAACGCAGACCAAAAATTTGTACTAACACGAATCAAGAAATTGATAGAACTTCATAAAATACTAAAACGTTGATTTCTTCATTAAAATTGCACTGTTATTCCATGGCTGGACATATTAACATTAGAAGTGCACTACAAACACGGCAAAAATTGGGCACTACATACATCACTACTAATCCAGATAATCAACCGCATCAATCGTCCCAGAAAACTGTACAGACTCTAGGTTGCACTACACTCTGAATAAAAGCGTGCCAAATATCAAACATCAGAATCATATACGCACTGATGCACAACCACGTCGTGAAATTAAAGTTGATTTCGCTGCGACAAAACGCAGCGCCCAATGAGCGACAGATCACAGGGTTGATGAAACACACGTGTGACACAGAAATCAAACAAACAACAGAACAGAAAAACACGTGCTAGAGGAATTTCCATGTAGACAATTTATTAACATAATTTTGTCACACGCTCGCTCTATTAAAGGTTACTCCTACTAACGTCGACACACCAATGTAAAACGATTTAGTGAAGTGTCAGTTTGCAAGTAAAAAATGCCGATTTCGTTCAAGCTGCGGCAAGTGCACGCAGACACGACTAACCTATCACAAATTCAATGATCAGGTACCTACAATAACAGTAGTAATCTACTAAGGTGGCAGGTAGCAGTACATCGTAGATTCGCTGCTTGTAACTGCTAATGCGGTATCGTGCAAATGTGATGAGACAAATTGCGGCGTGTCAAGTTGTGAGAACAAACGCTAACCGTTTTGGTCGTCCCAACAACATAATCTCAACATTCTCTGGCACAGAAAGAAATCTTACTGTTACAGGGAAATGTTGCACGTGCTCTGGCACGCAGAGCGCGAGCACGTGCCATTTCATCATTTGCTCGTGGGTACAGGATGCAAGTATGCCAGCTTGTCCTGTCCTGCCAACATATCCGGCCCTCCAGCAATTCCTGTTCTGCCAGCTTGTTCCGCCCTGCCAAACTGTCATATCTAACAGTAGCAGCTGTGACTAACTCGCCAGCATTGTGGCCGTTCACTTGAGAGGTACCCACTCGCGATGAAATATTGCAATGTTGTGACAAGCAGCTGACAAACGCGAGCAGCAAAGGCATATATTTGCGTAGCGACGGCAATAGTTTATCATTGCGCAAGTCGCTGCACAAATCAAAGTTAAGAAAAGTTCAACGTTACCGGTCAGTTAAATCTTCGGGACTGTGGTGCCACCTATTGGCGTCAATATTCTAAACGCATGTCAATGTTTCATAGGCAATCCATAAACCGAGCCCAAGCTTCTACAGTATACCGTTCTATAATGACCTAAACAGGTGTAACATGAAATAATGGATCTTATCACTTAAAACAACTTTCTTGCCACAATAAATCTAAAAATTATTAACATACATGCATCTGTAAAGATACCAATCACTAAAACCATGAACTTTGAGATGAGACCCAATAATAATGGAAACCACATCAGGTTTGTGCCTTGGTTTGACCTGTCTTTGATTAATGCCATTTGACATAACGTGCTAAAACAACACCAAAGCCAAATGCCAAGCCAATACCCGCAGTCCATCAAATTTATAGCCCCTTTGAAAACCATTACCCTTTCATAGCCAGAATTTCTCGAAAACCAAGTCTGTTGTCAGATAAAGCGAGAATACAGATTAAATATACAAGCATTAAGGAGCTATTTAAATTCTTCCACTAGAATAACAATGACACACAAAAAGGAGAAAAAATATTCAAAAATTCTTCCGTCTGTTCTCCTGTGTGTAAAAATGAACGAGGATCATCAGAGCAGGCAGCATTGCAGACAGATTCGGGAAAATTCATCAAGCTTCTCTCAGGTTGAAAACCTGCTATTAATTAACATATCCTCCTAAACTGAACGTTGAATCTAAAACATCTTGTCGCTGATCTTGTGATTACAAAGACCTTTGACTCTTGAAAAAATCGAAACAGACTATATTTGCGATCCTATCCATCCCGCAATATTAATCACGCAATATACTCAATGTTCACCTATATTAATATAATATATGATAATAAATATTATGATATAGCTACTATATATATATATATAATAATATATATATATATATATATATATATATATATATGATAGGGAACACTGGGCGCTGCTGCTGCCCCCATCATGGCCACCACTGCAGTGAAATAAGCTACAAGGTACCATCACAACCATAATGCAATGCTGCCTCATGTATCAAGACAAAACCTAGCGCATCGGGTGCAAGTACGTCCAGCTGGTAGGGAAGCACAGAGCAATATTAAAAGTCCAAAACAACCACGTCCAATGCAATAGAAGCCAATGGTGGGCTGGACGAATCATTAGAATAGCCAATGCAGCGATCAATCCATATTGTGGATGGCATCGAGAGAGAGTGAGGGAGAGAAAGTAAGAAAGTAGAGAGATAGATTGATATTGAGAGAGGGAGAGGAGAGAAAACAGAGAGAGAGAGGGAGGAGAGAAAACAGAAAGAGAGAGAGAGAGAGAGAGAGAGAGAGAGAGAGAGAGAGAGAGAGAGAGAGAGGGAGAGAAAGATAAATAACAGGGTAGGGAGGGATAGGAAAGAAGGGAGGGACCCCCCCCCACACCAGTTAGATCAAGAGACTCGAGCGTAAAATGAACCGAAGAAAAGAGAATGGTTTATAAGACACCTAACACACCGATCAAAACTATCCACAACTTGATTGTACACGAGCCTCAGATCCAAACCATCCCATAGTCATCTCCCTCAGACCCTCTCCTGCCTGCCTAACTGCGTGGATGATACATGCTCCAAATAAAGTAAAGGGTTAAGGCTTGGAAACCTGGGACAATGAACTGCGATTGTGTAATCGGTGGACCAGGGAGGGTATGTCCCCAGCCCACCTTACACGGGACGTGACACTACAAGCTAGGTGACAGTTGACACTACATACTGCTTAAGCAAGCACGTGAATGATCACTGATCGGCACGCTGCAAGCCATCGAAGATTTTCTGGTCTTCCCGCGCGACGGAAAGTCGCGATTACCCCGTGCGGAGGCGATCAAATTGCAACCCAGCATAGGGCGCCACCTGGTGGACAACCCTGTCACCACACAGCTGCACATTCACAATCGCAGCCATAGCGAGCTTCAGACTACATCTATAAACCTACAGATCGCACTACGATACAGCAGCAGCGCAACTCTGGGGGCATGCCGATTATAACCAACGCTCTGGTGGTAATCGTGGCAACAACTTCCCAGCAAACGACGCATGCTAAACAAAACGATGGGACACAGTAGCTGTACAAAACACATACCGGGTTTAAAGCATCGTAACAAAAATGATTATACCTAAGACTAGACCTCAATACCTCACTGACCGCCTCGGCAAAGAACAAGTACAAAACGCACCAGTGAAACGCGGCCGAGCCTTCGCCCCTTCTCGCACCGTGAGGGCGCCACGCTGCCGTTCTCTTAACCCCTCGACCTCCCCAAGGAAAACAAGCGCCGCGCGCGCGGTGCAGTGCGTGTGAAGAAGAGGGAGGCGGCAGGCGTCGGTGGCGAACGTGGTTGTCATAGCACAGTGGATGATGAAGATATCACGACGGCTGTGGTGTGACGTCACGGCTGGCATCACAACAGCTCGTACTGCCGCAGGTGGATACGCTGGATGATGTCGCGGCAGTCGTTGAACACCCGCCGGATGTTCTCCGTGTCGACCGCGCACGTGAAGTGCGGGTAGCAGTAATGCTTGCCGTCCCCGCTCGCCGTGCTGATCCTCTGTCAGGGGAAACGAGGAGAAGCGCGAGTGAGAGATGCACCTACACACCAGGCCCGTAGCCAGCTTTATATTGGGGGGGGGGGGTTCGTTTTTCAATGTTGGCAATTTGCTGCGCAGGGGCGTGTACAGGATTTGTACCGCAGGGGGGGGGGGTCTAACCGTAACCCAAATTTGCGAGGCACGCGAAGGGAGGGTCTGGCCCTCCCCCAAATTTTTTTTAAAAATTAGACGCCCCTCAGATGCGTTTTCTGCGCGAGCAAGGGGGGGTCCGGACTCCCTGGACCCCCCCCTGTACACGCCCCTGCTCGGCGCGAAGGCGCCAGGCGAGGGAGCCAAGCGACCAAGCGGGGGGAGGGTGTGGGAGGGGGGTGTTCACTGTTCATCCTCCCGCACGATGGAGATTTTGCAATTATTACACTAAAATGGAGCGACCTGAGGTGAAATTCTTTTTTTTGCTTGGGGGGGGGTTCGTTCGAACCCCCGACCCCACCTGGCTACGGGCCTGTACACACTATACACTATGCATATACGTCCACATTAATGGGCAGCATTGCATATATATATATAAATATTAAATATATATACATATTATATATTTACGCATTTACATAATACATTTATATATATGTATAATATATAATTTATATATATATATGCATTTATATATATGCCATAAGGAAGACTGAAAACATGTATGCACGGACATGTACGATGGTGTGTTTAAATGATAGAATGAACATGCACACATCATGACACACAAACGCACGCACGCACGCATGCACGCACGCACGCATGCACGCACGCACGCACGCACACACGTACTCACATACACACACGCACACAACAAACCCACAGGCACATTGCCTACACGCATCAACAATAAAACATTTACATTTACGAAGGCAATACGAGGGCAAATAATCAAACAGTGTAATGCATCTTCTTGGTAGAAAAGAGCAAGTTCAACTTTAGCTATGTTTACCTCTCACAAATATCATATAAGTTTTAAACACTTACTGATATATGCATAGCAAAAATACACGTTCTAATTTACCTATTCTGTATATTGCAAGTCGTCGCACGAATTCACGTAAAGCACGATTGCGTAAACACATCTTACCAAGAATTCATCACGAATAAAGTATTTGGCTCTGACAACAGCAGGGTATTCCCCCGGCTCGGCAGTTGCTGAAAGATGCAAGATTCATGAAGATTAGTCAACTTAATTACATAATATGCAAAGATGATTTAGTTAGTATTCGGTTTTTTACATGAAATTGTAACACTGATGTAACACAGTCACTGCATTGCGTGGACACCGTATCTCAAGACAAACAAGAGACGAAATGCTCAATATCTGCACTTCATGTTCCACACACCCCTAGTAAGAAGCTATTTCTGGCAGAAACCTATATTTAGAAGGTGTAATTTGTATATTTTCATAAAACTATATTGAATTTTAATGGAATAATGTTCTTATATGGAGTATATCATATTCGTCTTGTACAGCATGTCTGATAGCAGCAATCAATTGGATGAATCTATAATTTTTTTAAGTCATCGAACCTGATTTTTAATTTAACGATATAACGCAATCCTAGCAATTCAGTTGGTCAGGGAGTTGCTAGTTCATGATGCACACGAGAGCATGCCACTAATACCTGACTATCACATGACACACACGATCACGCTAAAAATCGCCTAGTGTACGCAATCAGATAAATCCAGAGCAAAATCGTCTAAACTAGAGGCATTTCCTCCACCAACAAACTTGGCTTATACGTTAAACACGGAACTGAATCACTAGAGTAGACAGGGATTATAAACGGGCACATTCCCCACATGATGTCAATTAGGCCTATGGGCCAAATCCCTCTTACCACGCCGCAGAATAGAATAAGAATCCCAAAATAGCGCTAGACTGTTGGAAATAACTTTCAGCACTGTATTCTAAGCCGCGGCTAATCTATTTTGGGGGCTACGTTCAAACCGCAATTAGAACTACCTTAGGGGCTGAAATAAAAGCAATGGGGGATAAAACTTTGGATTCAATGACACGGAAATAGATCGAAGCTGCATCATTTAGCACTGTTCTACGGCTATGTTCAAAATAAAGATGCAAACGAAACATATATCGAACTGGTGATTTAAGCTCAGGTGTTAGCATGCAAGAACCAGAGAGACCGGGTACAAGATGGCGTTGCGCAAAAGATGCGTTGTTCCCCGACCGCCGAAAGCGGTTAAGCCGCGCACTTCCGCAGGACTGGGCGCACGCGACCGCGGGGTGTTGTATGTAGCATCTCGCGCTCCCCGCTATACGAATTCGCGCGCCGAAGGAAGGCGGGCGCGCGAATGCGTATAGCGGGTAGCCTAACATCGCGCAGTTTTCGGGACACGTACATCGGCTCGGCTACATCGGCTTTGGAGGGGTGCCTTTCCGATTATAGATTGACACGCGTTTGTACATCCTCGCCGTCGTACCGTCACCTGCCGTATTTTCGTACCTTATCTGGCGTTCTCCCACTCTCTTTCTCTCTTTCTCGCACTCCCCACGGTCTGTCTCTCTCTCTCTCTCTCTCTCTCGCTCGCTCCGCCGCCACGGGTTAATAAGGTATCTATATACATGCATCAATGCTGCCGCAGCCAGGCACACAAGCATGCACTTGCAGCGTTTCAATAAAATGTAATGCTAAATAAATACAAAATCTATTTACTACGAAAGTCACCGCGGCGCAAAAACTCCCCGAGCCAGGTTTGTTGGATATAGCATTTCGACCGTGCCCGGCCGCCACGTGAGCGCGGGGGAGGAGGGAGGCTGGAATGTCGCGCTCCGCCGTCTTCGTAAAAACATGTGCATATATATATTTGTGTGTCAGTGTGGTGGCGTATTGTAGGATTAGCTACGTGTAAAAACTGCCACGGCCACGCCAGCACGTGCTCGCACGACGTGCCGACGCCACGGGCAGCGCGGGGTCAAGAGGTTGATAAAAACCTCGCACGTACGGAGCCAGGCTGAAATGTCGGTTGGATTGCGCCCAGTTTTCGCGGAGTGCGTTTTCAGACCCCTGTCTCAGATATCTGTCTAAGCGGACAAAAAGGGGGCGGCGTATTCGCGTTGGGACGCGGCTTTGCCGCGAGCTGTGCGCTGCGCGCAAAAACCAGGGCCGCAAGTCCGTCTAGCAATTCTGAATAAACGTGTCAATGACATTATAGCTCACCTTGGGTGTGATAGAAGAGGGAGATGATATTGAAAACTTGGTAAGTGTTTCATTTATGACGGACCGAAATGTGATCAAATGTCCTTACTCCCCGTTTTATACTAATAGAAATCCACTGTTTTATTCAGGGTTAGTTCTGATGCGAAAATAAATGTTTCACATCTGAAAGTCTGAAATCTGGGCGAGAGATGGCGCTACGCCTAAATGATCGCCATTTTGGTTTTCGATTATCGCGCAAATAAAAGCAATAAACTATTCCAGTCAAATTACTGTAACGAAAAATCTAAAACACAATATTACACGTAGGTATGATTAGGTAGGTAAGTAAATTTAACAAAATCGAATGAATCTAGATAGCCATTTTGATTTTTGCCAAAAAGTGGGCATGGCTCAAAAGTTAGGTCGACTGGCGTGCTCCAAAATTTGCATAATTTAAAAAAAATATCAAAACCCCTGTGATATACTTTGGGGCCAGTCCTTATTCATTCACATTCCAAAAATGAGCAAAATCTGTTGAACCTGAACTGACTTATGGCCATTTCCATTTTTGCCAAAAAGTGGGCGTGGCTCGAAAGTAGGTCAACTGGTGTGCTCCAAAATAGGACGTTCACATCTCTCCCATAGGAGTAACAACTATATGCAATTTGAAACATGTGGGTCAAACGGTTCTCAAGTTATCGTTGACCGTAGCAAAATGTTGACGGACAGACGGACGTACGACGAACGACACCCCATGGCAATAGCTCATCTTGACGATGTCAATGTGAGCTAAAAATTTACAACAAACCCGCGACAAACTATAGGGGGGCAACGACAGCATATCGGACGGAACTGCGATTTGAAGTTGCATGCGGTGTGATCAAATGTGCCTTTTGACATTTTAGCAGTAACAAGATCTGGATGACAGGTCCACGGCAGTAAAGCCTAGCGCAGACCTGCGATTTTTGGTTGCTCGTCGCTGCAATCTGCAACCCCAAGCGATCGGCCGCGTGTGCCCACACACATGCAATTTCGAAGCAATTCTAGAGCTATTTGGGAGCGATTGGGAGCGACGAGTTGCTCAAAATCAAAACAGTTTGATTTCTCGCAACTCGTCGCAAGCAACCACAATCGCTACGAGTTGCAGTTGCACATTCCCGTAGATGTAGCGATTTCACAGCAATTTTTACAGCTATTATAGAATCGCTGTCGAGTTGCATGAAAAAGTCACAGGTCTGCACTAGGCTTAAGAAAGCTCCGTGACTAACAGGCATAGATGCTTACACTCAGGTGGCGTCTTGTAACTTATATACTCGGGAAAAAAGTCCTCGACCTTCGACTTTCCAGCCTTGACCTTTTCTGCTAGCAAGTCCTGCTTGTTGAGAAAAAGTATCACGGAAACAGTCCGCAGCCACCTGCAAGATAAACACTGCGGTGATAAGTAACTGTCACGAAACTGTGAGGATTGAAGAATCAGACCCACCCAACACGACTATTTATATTTATTTACCACAATGATGCTTTGACATGAAGAGTGATTACTGAATGAAGCAAGGAACATCACCGCAAGACAAACTTACACACGCGCGCACACACACGCACACACGCACGTGCACACGCACACGCACACGCACACGCACACGCACACGCACACGCACACGCACATGCACACGCACACACACACACGAACACACACACGTTCAGGCACATTCACACGCGCACACACACACGCACGCACGCACGCACGCACGCACGCACGCACACACACACACACACCTATTTATCCAGATGCTTTTGAAAAGATCGAGGGACTCCTTGAGCCGGTTGGTTTTCGAGTCCTCACGCAGAACCATATTGTAGCTACTGCAGGCTGTCACGAAGATGATGGCCGTCACATCGTTGAAACACTGGATCCACTTTCTCCTCTCATCGCGCTGTCCTCCCACGTCGAACATGCTGCAAGGACAAGACAGGTAGGTGTGAACATGTGGTGTGTGTATTAACATATTTGACTATACGGCCCGTAAGTTTTGCCAAGGACAACGCTGATTTCTGAAGGACAAACAAGCAGAATGTCCATCACACGTGAGCAGTGCGTGTGTTTACACGTGGGTCGAGTCTGTTTCTGAGACGCACGAGATTCCTGTCTCGCTGTTAACGGAACTAATCATCATGTACTCACTGAAAGTTAACTTTGTCTACTTGAAACCTAGTTTCGAAGATTCCTGACGTCAAAACACGACATCTTAGGATATCCTGCAATAGAGGCGAGAGCATGAGAAATGAACAATAACAGTCAAGCATGTATGTAGCCACGTCCGAATCTGATGGCCTACCTTCAAAGTTATACGTACACAGACGACGAGAAATACTACACAGGCAACTAATGTACATTCACCGAATAGCAAAGTGGAATGTTGAGGGCAAATGTGGAAGCGAATGATGTTGTGGGATGAGCAGGAGTAAGAATGATGAAGATTTTACTTGTATTATTAATCTTACACAGGTCTGCATGCCTCTTCATAAAGACCTTACCTGTTCAGTTGGCAAGTAGGTTGGTTCCTTAATGACATCGGTTTTGTCAAGAAAACTGTAACAAAAAACAGGCAAACTAATGATTTTTTGTTTGTGAGAGAAATTAGAATAAACTCAAGTACTAATGGAATTGAAAAGAACAATAAATGCAATCTAATCAAAACAAGAGGTGAAAATCAGACTTCTTTATTGAATGTCATCTAGCCTAATAGAAATATTGAATATGAAATCTATCTTTATTAACTATTAAATTATACACTACTTCAATCACTGACAATATGAATGCATTGCACCAGATGCTGCTGATATACTGCTTAGTATTGCTTTACCAAGAGCAAAAATACCAACAACATGCAGGTGTAGCTAGAGGAACACAAGGGTTCACCTGGCTAAAAAGAACAAAACGCAGTTTTTTTGGGGGTGGGAACACACTAAAGGTAGGGCTGTCAATATGCAATTTCAACACTTTAACTCAACTGTTACTGGCTTGTGTACAGCTCCTGATGCCAAACAGTGGCATACTTACTGCTCATGTACTAGCATTGCTCTTTTCTTACCCATGCCACCAATAAACATGGCTCAGGTAGCCAACTGCCTGCACTTGAAATAATTTACTACAAACTAAGGTGGTAAAATCAACTTGGCGTGATGCGTTTATCAAATTACTTCCTTTACGATAAATTGGATCTTCCTCATCCAAAAATAATTTCAATAGATGAACGTGTATTCTGCATAACTCTAAAAGCTTATTACCATCTTTATGACTCACACCCTGTCATGTGCAAGTTAGTCAGGGGGTGTGGTTTTGGAAGTGTTAGTTTGACCATCCTCACTACTTATGATGCGCATCACTTACTCTTACCATACTCATTTCTCACTGTCAGCAAGAACCTTTCAACCTTATATTGATACATATCAGGGGTTAATAATGACAAATTTGTCAGTATTCGACATTTTTGTCATTATTAACCCTTGATACACATATTTTACCAATGTACCATCCATGGTTCATACAGGACTGAAAAATTTTCAAGGACTTTTCAAAGACATTTTATCGGAAATTCAAGGACATTTTATCAGACATTTTATCGGAATTCATACACAGAACAAAACATACCTGGATTAATTTAATAATAACCCCATTCTTAATCACTGTCATCTCTAAAACTTACCTGGATCACATTAATAAACCCTTCTAAACACTGTCACTTCTACAACATACCTTGATTTACTGACTGATTTTAATGACTTACTGTAATTTGTGATCATAATTTAACTGTCTAACGTGTCTATAGCTTTTTAAGCTCATTTAACGCAATTTTTATTGAGATTTGCACATTATTGATAGTACAAAATTTCTTTTTATTACAGGCAAGGATTCTTTCCAAAAATTCAAGGACATTTTCATGAAATTCAAGGACTTTTCAAGCACAAAATCAACATTTACTGAATTCAAGGACATTTTCATGAAATTCAAGGACTTTTCAAGCACAAAATCAACATTTACTGAATTCAAGTACTTTTCAAGGACTCCCCTCAAATTCAAGGACTTTTCAAGGGCTGTGCGAACCATGCCATCATTAAAAATATAAATAGTGTAAATAAATAAATATAATTAAATACTATCAGGTGTGTTTATTCCGACTAATAAACCAGTCCGGCACACAGCAACAAATTGCAGATCAGATCAGTTTATGAGTATCATTGTATCAGGAGTGAATAATAATAGATTAGTAGCGATCTATTACTAGATTATAGATTATAGATTATAGATTATAGAAGACTAATACTGACTATAGATTACTAGATCTATTATTATTCACTCCTGATTGTATCAGCATTGTAGACTACGCAAGAAAGTGGGTGGTGACTGAGCCTCTATCTGTGTAGGGAAGCCGTCTCAAGGCTCATTTGCCGACAGGGTAAAGCTAAAGTGACGCACGCACGCACCGACGCATAAACACACACCTGCACGCACGCACGCGTAAACACACACATGCACGCACCCACGCATAAACACACGCACGCAGCCACGCATAAACACACGCACGCACGCACGCATAAACACACGCACGCAGCCACGCGTAAACACACACATGCACGCACCCACGCATAAACACACGCACGCAGCCACGCACGCACGCACGCACGCATAAACACACGCACGCAGCCACGCATAAACACGCGCACGCACGCAGCCACGCATAAATACACGCACGCACGCA